TATGGAATGTGATGAGTTGTATGAGCCCCTAATAAAATGTTTTTTAAACAAAAAGAAATCAAAATATTTTTTAAAAATTATTAAGGGTTTATGGGGGAGGGCGGAGGGAGAGGGGAAAAAAAGGAAAATGAGCTGATTCCGGGAACCCAAGAGGAAAGTGAATTTTGGGAGTAATGAGGGCAACAAATGTATAAATATACATAGATCAACACAATTGATCTATGTATTGTGATGAATTGTATGAGCCCCAATAAATTGATTTAAAAAATAAATAAATAAATAAAGGGCTGTACAACAATAAAAAAATTATTTAAAAAAGTGATCATCATATTTGAGAAGTCTTTAGTGACGTCTATGAAAGCAGTTCTCTGGAGGAGGTTATGGGATCCCAGCTGGGGCAAAAGGTGAGAACAGAAGATGACGAGGAGGAAGCAGCAGGTATACCTGTTCAACAAAACACTGCCTAGAAGGGGAATAGGGAAATGATGCTGAAGGAAAACCTTGAGAATTGTTTGTAAAAGATAATAATATGAATTATTGTTAGCACAATATTTACAGGTAACAAAGACACTGTATATACTCAAGTATAAGCCGACCTGAATATCAGCCAAGGCACCTAATTTTACCACAAAAACTGCATTAAAATGTGCTGAAAAATTTGGCTTATACCCGAGTATATATGGTAAAGACTATAACATACCAAATCTTGCAATAATAGGAAAAACAATCTATAAGTGGATACAAAGACTCTCAAGCAGTGCAATGGTAAAGGACGAATGGGACTATACCCATGAATACGAGAATATATAGATTTGCTAGAAGATACTTCTACAGATGTATTTATATGTACCATAATACAGTCTCACCAGCTGCCTGTCAGTCGGTCAGACTGTGGTGGATTGTGTGTTGCTGTGATGCTGACGCCATGTGATTATTTCAAATACCATTAGGGTCATCCATGTTGAACAGGTTTCAGCAGAGCTTCCAGACTAAGAAGAAGGAATAGGCTGTCCACTTAGAGGAACTGGCCACTAAAAACTTTATAAGCATTGTTAGCGATC